GTTTGTGAGGATGTGCTACTTATCTAATGCAGATGGATGTGACATGATATAATAGTCCCTAATGAATCATTTAGCAATGAGAAATAATTGGTATTGCCAACTTGTTCTTTTCTCACATCCAAAATAAATTCAGTGAGCTTTTCCATGGCAAGCAAAAACACTTCCCATCTGCAATCTGAAAAGCAAGAAAATTCGAATAGAATTTTCTTATGGTTCAAAAATGGGATAAAAGTTATCCCATGTTTGTTAAGACAGCCAAGCATCTCACTGAAGACAAAAAGGGAGAAAAAAGAGAAAAATGCTGTAAAATCTTGTTATCTTAGGCCATTTCCTTAGAGCTTTAGCGACCTATCTGTAATAAGAGACAAAAAGGTCACGATTTTAAAATATTTTAATTAAACTTTTCATCATCTTTGAAATATTGCATCTCTCTCCTCTTTTACACATCTGAGCTTAAAAAAAAAAAGTGCATATCAACCAATAGGAAAGAATTACACAGAAAAAAAAAAAGAAAAAGAAAACAGGACGTTTTACGTAATTAGCCAGAGCACAGCAAGTGATACTGTGGGTAATCAGGAAGAAACAGAATGTGTGCTTGGCTCTTTTGCTTAGATGCTGCTTCCTTTCTTTTCTTCTCCCTGAAATACAACTTCTGTCCTATAGACAGAGCAGCTGGCACTTTTTTGGATTCCATGAATACATAACTCATTATTCTTGCACAAATGAGTGAGCTTTCTGTTACTGAAAGATATAAAGAAACCAAAGCGTCTCGTATGAATCCATTTTGACTGGTGCATCCACTCACCTTTGGGTCTACAGGGTCAGCTGGACATACAGGCAAATCACTCACTGACATTCAGTAGTCTTCGTAAAAAGGTTATTTATCAGAGGCTGTGGTCTCATAACATCACTGAGCAGCAAGTCTTTTGTTATCCTGCAGTGATGCACAGAGAACCCAGTCGTCCCTAAGGAGTCCTTGAGGATGCCACAGCACATATGCAGTTGAATGCCAGACCTCTTGTCATCTGGGGTAGTTCACAATGCATACTCGGTGATATATAATGCAAAGCTGACAAAGCTGACAGTATCCCTTAGAAAAAAAAGGAAAGAATAGATAGTCTGAGGTGAAAAAAAATGAAATAATTTCACAGTTCAAAAAAGAAGAACTTCAAAAAGATTTCAGAAAGTAATATCTTGGCTGCACTCCAAAGCACTTCAGAGTTGACTGCCAAAGGATTAAGTCTCCAGTAAGATAAAAATATCTGTACACACACACACACAAACACATTCCATGTATGTCTGAAAACCTATTCAAATAATATTAAATGATTCAAACTGGCACAACCGCAAAGACTACTGACAAGGCGTTGTTCCCTCAATAAATGAGTTGCTTTGCCCTTGTGTCTGAGGTCCACGGAAACTTTTCCAGAGTGAGGACTCCCTAAAAATCCAAGCTCTGAGCACATCTCCTGCCTTACTGCCACAGTGCAGGAGGCATCTATTCCGGCAAGACTTGTAACCTGCTGTCCAGAACTAGGGCACCGTGTACCCTGCAACACTTTTATCTCCCGCACTGACAGGGAGACTACAAACACCGGTCCCAATTTGTCACTTTGTCAACAAAGCCCACTTTGTCAGTCATTAGTTTTTAATAATTCTGGAAACTTGCTCTGAGTTTATTAATTAATATTTATTTGCTAAGTTTGGTCTGAAGTCAACTGTTGCTTTTACCACTACCCATTTTCCAGTGCTGTTTTACTGTGACATTTCTGAAAAATCCCATTTTCCCGAAAAGGAAATGAATACCATAAATATCTGGCAAAGGGATACTGTCTAATGGCACAGCTGGTTCTTCTCTCGGTAAAGATGAAGCTAAATAGCAAATGTAACTGTAATTGTGGTAACTAATCAAAATCTGTCTTTAGCCAGAACAGGCAACTGCCCAGCAGCTTGGCAAGTGGCCAGGTGGTCATGCCCATTAACTTCACACCACAATATTCTTTATTAAATGGCTGTCTGCTACACCTAGGAGAGAGAACATCGATTTAATGAAGGAGGGAGGGACCTGGAACCGGCAAGGCAATATCTTTTCCTCCTGATTAAATATTTCGTTAAATCTCTGTGCCATTCAGTCACTTGTAAGTTGTGATGAGGCGGGGAAGAAGTCCGTGCTATATCTAGCTAAATATCTTGCATAGAATCACTGAGAAGATATAAGAAAGAGCCTAATTTCAGCACACGGTATTTAAGAGATGAATTTCAGCATGTGCTATTCAAGACTAATATAATGCTTCCTACAGGTGAACATTATTAGTAGTCAACGTTATTCTGAATATTCAGTGACTATTCAACGACTATTCAATTCAGCATTCTGAACTGAGCCTCAAGGTCTGAGCTCTGCTCTGCCGTTAAGCACAGTCACTAATGTGAAAGAAGCTGCTGGTAAAAGCAGCCCAGCTAGATCATTGCACTGGCAGGCACGCTTTGTCAGAACACAATGGACACGTCAACAACTGTATGTGGAATGACAGCTGAAGGAAAGAGATTATTTCCTAGGGATTTTAAACTGCTTTTTTTCCCAGCTCTCAAAATTATTCCAAATGCTTAAGTAGTGTAGATTTTCTTTGCAAAGCATCATAGGAAAATTATTGGAGGAATTCTGTCAGGGTCAGACAACAGACTGAAGGCGAAAAATGAAACGTGAAGGCTGGATCAAAGTCTGTGATTAAAATATGTACAAACAAAAAATGAGTCTTCCTGTTTTGTTGGTTTTGTAACCTTGAGTGGTGAAAGAACACATTCAAGGGAAGTTTACAAGCAGTCTGTGAAATGATAACACTTGACAATACCACCATAATAGTTCACCACTTTGTTATATCATTGGACACATCATAACTTAAAAAAATAAATGAAAGGATAAGTAAGCCAGAGAATGCTCCATGCCTCCAGGCCAAGTAGACCACTGACTGTTCCATTAAAATGTTTAATTATAAAGCTTCATCCTTTTATCCAGAATTTGAATGTGCATAGGGGAGAATCTCTGGGTAGAGCTGCCCAGAACTGTGCATCTGGATTAATTTGAGGAAAATGAATTTTCAGCACTATTAAATTGCCCACATGGAATATTCCTCAGCACTGAGGAGCCATCATCACTTTCCATGAAGAAATTATGGGACAGTTTAGTTTTAGAGCGGCTTGGCTATTAATCTGCATCTGTCTCTGTCCAATGAAAGCTGTAGTTCGAATGCTTTGAGTTTACTTTATCCTTCGCAGGCAAAGCCTCACAGCTAGACCTGCATCTTCCCGCTCTGCCATGATTTCCACTCTCCACACTTTCTGTAAAGTAAAAGAGGCATCTGATGTCTTTCTTTCACCATTTGCAGCAGCAGTACGCTGTTCTACACCAACTCAGGTTGGAATACACATTATTGCACTGCTGGTGCTGAGGTCAGGGAGGCTGTTTGGATTTAGCAGAACATAAAATTCAGATAAAATCTGAATAAGAAACTGTATGATGTTTATGATCTGTGGGTAAACACTTGGAAATTGGGATTTCTAATGATGCTATTGACAGTGCATTAGCTAGAACACCTGCTGACAACAAGATAAGTGGCCAGTGTAGACTGAACATGAGGCTATTACAAAAATGATGGATGATCTTATTGCTTTTGGAGATTAGCTTAGAACTGCTGGAACCTTCAACTACTGTTCGCTGTATTTCCAAATTGCCATGTGATGCTGATGGTGAGATACTGAAGAATATATTACATGACCTGTCTACAGACTGCATAATGAGTAGAGAGAAATACATTTTACATTCTCTTTTTAGTGTAAAAAATGAACTTTCACAATATTGATACAGTTTAAATTAAATAATTCAAAAACTCATTCAGTAAAAGAAAAAAATTATTACCATTCTACTCTTTAATGCTAGACTCACTAAAGGTGAGTGTGTTTTAATTACGTGCTTAATTTGGACCACAATTCAAGCATTCAGTTTTTAATTCAGCCACTCCGCTATTTTGGTGTTCAGATATTAAAAAAAAAAAGGGGGGGGAAGAAGTCAGAAATCAGCTTCTGCTAGCTAAAGTACAATTAATTTCACAGGAGGATTGAAAAAGGTACAGATCTCATTGGATTGTTAATAAAACACAGTACCATTTGAATCTATGGTGAACTGTCAAAAGCTTTTGTCCTTCTGATGTCAGTTCAACAGATTGCAATATCAATAAGCAAATGTCACAGATCAAAGTACACAATTACCAGTGACATTTGAACTACCATTTTTATTAATGGTACCAGTATTCTGTAAAAGCCAATTCCAAACATAGGCATAGAAATAATTTAAAATAAGAGTTAAAGAGCACAGAGTGGTAAATCACAAAAAAAATCTTTTTTTATATGACAAAGGCCATTAGCTTTTGCACACAAACTGTTTTTGTTAGCCTATTAGAGGAACGCGCAGTCTGAGTATGCCCGTGTTGACATTCTTAACCATGTTTCTTCCTTCTGTGTTATCCTAAAGTACAATTTCTTCTCGAGTTTGGAAGCCGAGTTTTCAGATTTCAGAGGATAAACCCTGTCTCAGGTAAGAATGGGGCTCTGCATTCCAGAGCGTTCCTCTTCGACGAGCCTCCCTGGTAGGAAGGTTGACAAGGTGATGTGGGTTAGGTCTTGCTTCTTCCCAAGCGCACCAGGTTGACCCGTGGCAGGGAACATGCTTCCAAGGTACGTGGCACCGTAAGCCCTTCCAGATTCACTTCGTATTCCCCACAGTCATTGCATGGAGCAGGTCGGCAGTGCTCCGCTCAGAGCGTGAGGGCTGCCATCACACTGCCTGCACGACGCAGCATACGTGACCGGCACAGCTGTTGGGTCCAAACATCAGGCAGTAGCACGTGGCGCACAAGCGCTTGCTGCTCCTCAGGAAGGGGCGCAGGCATCTGCACCCGCCAGCTCTGCGTGTGCTGCTGCACGCTGCAGCCTCAGCGGCTGCGGGGATGCTAAACAAAGCGAATCCAACCGAATCTCTGGCCCTGGAGCATATTGGCATGGCAGAGCTTGAATCCCCATGGCTAAAATCCCTTACTCCAACACGGAATAGTCATACTTGGATTGCCTTTGGGGATGGCTCCTGGCCCATGCTGGCCCTTGACCAACACCCAGGAACTGGTTGGGAGATTCCTCACAGGCGTGCACAGAAAGGCATGCCGAGAGAGGACTCTGCAAAGAATTCAGTGGTACCGCATGTGTTAGCTCTGCTCATTTTTCTAGGCCAGATAACGGGCGGATCATCCACGCTTGGGCAGTGAACGCAGGCAGCGTGATCCCTGCCATCCCGGGTAGCCTCATCCATCTGCCTGGTGCTCCCTCACCTGCTCTGACCCAGGGAGCTCCTGGCTTTTCACTTTCTAGGCTTCCTCCTCCCTTTCTCCTTATGCAGGAGGGTCTCACTAGTTTTTCTCCTGAAGGCCTCTCAGCACAGGCAGCACCAAAGGGGGCTTAACAAGGTGCACAAACACAGCCCCAGTCAGTTCCTATGGAACATATTGTCCCTCTAAAATGAAAATTTAGTTACTGAAGGATCAGCTGCTGCTCAGGAATGACAAGAAGTAATTCCAGACGTGCAATGTTGTCTCTCTCTTTTTAAAATGCCCAGTAAGCCAGGCCAGCTAGGCTTTAAAGGTGTGCAGAGTAAAATACATTGCAGATTACTTTCAAAAAGTCTCACAGTAGACTGAACAAATTGTAGCCTTGCCAGATACTGCAAGACAGATAATTTGAGCTGGTTGAAAACTGCTTTGCAAAGGAAAAGAAGAAAAGCAATATGAAAAAATTTCATTTACAGTGTCCAGCGTTTGAAAAATACTATTCTCTTAAAATCCCCAGAAGTTCTGGTACACAAATATCATTGAAATGGCATCTTCCTTAATTTCTTTTTAATAAGTAAAAATCTGACCAGAACAGCTGATGAAGTTCCTTAGTTCTTGAAATGGGTTGGTTTGAGGTTGGCAAACTAGAGAAATGCAAACTTTTCTGTGGTAAACTAAGCACAGGTCTGTACTTGAATGGTGGTGGGAACATGATACTCTGAAGTTTGCTGTACACTTAGTGCCATCCACAAAACCAAAATTTAGTTCTGCTCAATCACTGGCCTTTTTTAGAGGATACACGAAAATAGGTATCAGCTGCAATGAAAAATTCAATGGAAGCCTGCTGGAAACCACAGCAGATAGCAGAACCAATCCATAGATTAGCATTTCAGTGTTATTATTTAGGCTGTGCAGATGGTGGTTTGCTTAGTGCCTGTTCTTTTCAGGCACTGGCCCTAGTTTCAGGCACTCTCTATGCCTTATCTCATTTGCATCATTTTCACTCAGAATAATAGCCTTTAAATTTCACAACATTTTCAGCTCAAGGGTGCCAGAATGACCTAGATAGTGGCAGACATCTGGAGAAAAAGGCAGGCAGCTGGACGTGTTATAGATGAAGCTTACCCAAGCTCTGAGTTGTCCAGTCCTTTCTGGTTTAAAACTTTCTTCTCTCCTTAGCAGAAGTATACGCTTCAGCATTCTTCCACGCTTGTAAATCAATTGATGTGAAGAGCAAAGAAGACTACTTTCTGAACCAGTCAAAATTGATTACTGGGCTTCAGTACTGGATGGGTGCCCTGACCTGTGCTACACAGGGACCAGACTAGTTGGTCAGATATTCTCCACTGCCCTAAAAGTCTTTTAATTTATGGACTCTGTTACTTGATTTATTGTTGTTCACACTACAGGATTCCATAGTTTCCCAAGACGTTGAAGTCCCAGAAAAAAATTGTAGTCAGCTTGATACAAAGCTTCTGGACTCAGGAGATATTGTAGATAAAAGTGGGAGGCAGGTGCAGGAAACAAATCCTGGTGTGCATGACAGATTGCCTGGCACATGTGGCAGGGACAGGAGATGTCCGAGCCCGGAGAGCAGCCACATCCAGCTGCAGCGGAGGGGTCTGTGTGCAGGCCTGGCATGACTGCAGCTGCCAGCCTGCATCAACCTTCTCTAGAGGAAAAACAGCTCTTCGATCCTCCTGCTTTCCCTCGTGCTTGGATGAAACACTCACCACAGTCCTCATCAGAGATTTTGCAGAAAATAATTCTTCTCTATTTGTTTTTATCCTGCCCTTTGACTCAGCAGGGTTCTTTTCAGCATGATGTAGTTTTCAACCCCAACACTAAATCACAGTCAGCTTCTCTGCCAGGTGTGATGGTGTGAATTTAAGCCTGTAAATGTGATTGCACTTGGAGGCATGGATGTGGCAGCATTATTTACAAGTGGTAAGACTGGGCCACGCTTTGTCCTCCTGGGGACCACAGCCATCCACACCCTGCCCTGTTCACATGACTGCCCGAGCTGGCAAGGCTGGAGGGAAGACATGGAGACACTTCTGCCCTTCTGCTTAAGTAGGTGGGAATTTTCAGCTAGAAGGAGCAGAGCCAGCAGCATTTTTAGCTTCTATAGCATAACACTAGCTTGTCCCACTTTTCCATGAGGTAAGCAGGGCGATAAGCAGGATCAAAACCTTGGACCTCAGGAGGGCTGACTTTGCCCTCTTCAAGGAGCTACTGGGAGGAATCCCGTGGGCCAGGGCTCTCGAAGGCAGGGGGGTCCATGAGTGCTGGTCGCTCTTTAAACAACACTTCTTCCATGCACAGGAGCAATGCATCCCCCTGAGAAACAAATTGAGCAAAGGAGGCAGGAGACCTGCATGGTTAAACAAGGAGCTTCTAGCGGAGATCAGGCAGAAGAGAAAGGTCCATGGAATGTGGAAAGAGGGACAGGCCACTTGGGAAGAGTACAGAAAC